CTCACTTTCTGGCCGATGAGAGCGTCACCACCGGAATTGCCAGCATACACATTCTGCGCCTAGTTTGCCATAAATCAGCTTGCCCTGTTTAAGTTTTAAATGCTAATTATTAAACGCCACTATATGCAACATTTTGTCGATATTGGTAGAAATAGGGCATGCTAAATATTGTTTTATTAATTTTATTATTTTTAAAAAATAATGTAATACGACTTGAATGTATTATATCCATGTATAATGGATAATAAGATTGATACCTAGAACAATTCTAATTACACAAAATAGAAGTCTGTGTAATTAGAATATAGTTTGAATGGAGTTAACTTAACTATTATATTACCAATTCTTGTTAAGACATAGTAAAATGACAATTATAATAACCTCTTATATTATGTAATACTTTATTTTAAGATTATAACAATCTAATAAATGTATTATTAAATATGATTAAAGTAAAAGTTTTTAATTAAATTTTTTTTAAATGTTACATATTTATAATGTTATCCATTAATTGAGAATTCCTTACATTCCCATTTTAAATATACTAATAAATATTGTTTAATATTTTGTAATATATAATATAAGAGATATTTTAATATATTGAACATGTTAATTGAACATCAATTAATTTAAATTTTGGTTTCAATATATTTGAGCGGATTTTGAGCAAAATCCTCAATAAGTTGTGAAACTTTTGCCAAACTATTATCCGTTTGTATTCTTCGGGAGACTTCGGCCAAGCGGTCAGTCATTGCCGTATCGTTCAGTAAAGTCTCGATCGCTGCCAACAACTCTTTCTCTGAGCACCGGTGGGCGTCCAGTCGTAGACCAAAGCCCTTGTCCTGCAATCGTTGAGCGTTATCGTACTGTTCAGCGAATACAGGCATTGCTATCATCGGTTTCCCGAAGAACATGGTTTCGGTGATAGTATTGATGGCGCCGTGAGTTAGCACCAGATCTACGAGAGGTAGGACTTGGATCTGAGGCACTGACGCCTCGCCCCACATATTGTCGGCCAGAGTGTAGTCCATATGCAACGGACCCTTTGATACGATGAACCGATGCGGAGATTTGGCCAAAATGGCCACAAGTCGGCGCATATTTACCACATTGAGTGAAGCAATTGTGCCAAACGAGAAGTACACCAATTTTCCCGGCTTTGCGGCCAACTCTGGCGGCACTGCAAATGTCAGGTGCCGTTCAGTGCGTATGAAATGATCAAATCCAACAAAATTTCGGCCAAACGGCCGGATGTCCTGATAGTCCAACTCCAGGGGATAGCCGTATATATTGAGGTAATGCGAGGGGTTATGGAAGTAATATTCGGGCAGTGGTTCGCAGCCCCTGCCGACCACATAGTCGTTGAACGCCTGCCAATTGTCTTTCACGTTATTTCTAACGCTTTGTCTAAACACTTGCCATAATTTCTGGTCTCCGGTAGCGGATAGTCCTATGGATTGTAATGTAAACTCTATGGCAATTCTAATGCTAATGATAATGCTTAGAACTTATTCTATGCCTTATCGTCTCTTACCCTGTTTATAATAGGACGTTAAACTGTTTATCACTAGATTATAAAAAACATGATAAAAATTTGCCCTGACTTGTCAGATACGATTAGGTCTATGATTGGAATGAGCGTTTGTGGAACGCGTTCCATTTTCATTAACCTTGTTCAGTTTTATACATTGTGTGAGGCCTAATCGATATACACAGTAATGTATACAGTACACTGTATGAAAATTAAATGAAGAATTTTAATTGAACGCCGCTAGGGGGACGCCCATTACTAGTCTATGACAATGTTTAACCCAAAGATAATAATATTATGTAGTCCATGGGTAAATTGTAAATAATGGGTGTAATATAAAGGAATCTAACAATTTATCTGAATAAAACCAATTGTTTTTTTAAATATTGCATAAAATGACAATAATTAATACAATATTTTATCCACTGGTTGAATGATTGGGTTGGTTCACACAAATCATACAAATAATTACATGTTAAGAGTACAGTATAATATAAAGTTTATATTCAATGTATTGTTGTTTTATACATATAGGAGAGATGATTTAGTTTGTGTGAATCAGTGCTCTCCTTAATATACAATCATTTAACTCCTTGTATATAACTCCTTATACAATAATTTAACTTTATATTTAAATTTTTGGCTTTGCGTTTGTGAGGGCGGAGAGTGTATTACAAACCTGATCGTCGAGGCGGTGCCCTCTCGTCGTCCATCATCTCAAGAATGCCGGCACTCCAGCACCAGACACACGGTATGCCCGACAACTCCACCGCCGGCAGTGCTATCAACTGATCCACGACTATAACATCGGGACGAATGTCGGGCAACAGTCGCTCCAACTGTTTGTCCATTTTTATGGCGTATTTTGTCCACAAATCTGAGTGTTTTGCGCGGATTATAGCCTTCTGGAGAGCCGACGCGTCGCTAAACATAACCGATGCCATCATTTCTCGGGTCGCGTCCGGCGTGTCGTTCGGTCGATGTATCGGTGGATCCGTTTTGGCCAATACTATCTCTTCGATGCCATAAGCTGTCAATTTTCCCGACCAAACACTGTCCACAGCAAACACCACTCGGTGTCCGCTATCAATCAATTGTTCCGCAATAGCTATACAGGGATTCACGTGACCAGCGTTTAAGAGCGGCACGAATAGCACTTTCAGCGTTTTATTTGCCATATTTTTTAATCACCTTGCACAATCAACACAATTGTTTTTTGTAAACCCCACAATTGCGTTAATTACTTAATTAAATATCTGATAATATCTCACATCCGGCATATAAATTGTCGAATCATGTAATTGCATCATGTGTGTCTATAACATCTAATATCTGCATTATCAATTTATGCAATAGCCTTGGTAGAAAATATTTGTAATTTTTTATACCTTTATAATAAATATTGTTGTCCTGTACCGGCTAATGTTTCAGATATATAGTAGGTAGCAGTGTTTAAATTTTAATATCTATAATAATAATTAAAATAAGATAACAAAATATTATTAATTAATGTTTATTATATCATTAATTATTTTCATTACAATTATTTGATTTATATTTATAAAATTGTTGTGTTCATATTAATGTAATTGGGTAATAATAATCCTATTGAACTAATGTTGATCTATGGACAATATTAAATCTATAGATAATGCTAATTATATGGTAATATAAATTTATCAAAACAATAATAAAATCATCAAGTCTGTTTAAATTAAATTCTGTTCTACGTAATTTGTACGTAGTGTATCTGATTATTATTCTGTGAAGTCATTGCTATAATAAATGAGAAATTTACATTGCAACTTCTAATGGGTTTAAGGTTTATTTAGTGTTAGGGTATGTTTGTTAAGTCAGGTAAAGGCATAAAGTGTGGGCTAAGTGGGGGATAGATAGTGTGACCAGGTGAGCAAATGATAATAATGTACAAAAGATAAAAATATTGGTCAAAATAGTGTACAAATAGTGTACACAATATTTTTTTCAAAATTTTGATTTTAAATGTCATTATATTAATAATACATAACTTTATATTCAAAATTAAATTAACACATTTTAACAGTTATATATTAGAATAATCAAATATGTGCCCTTAATCATGTTTATGATAACATTTGTACACTATTCTGTTAAAATCTTTATGCAATCGTATAATATTTTGAATTAATAATTATCTATAATTTTTTACACTCTTAAAACATGATTTGTTGTACATTACAAGTAATGCTTTTACACAAAACAAAATGTTTTATAAAAGTTTTTATTTTTTGGGTTAATTTTTCGTTGTGATCAAATAGTGTACAATAGTGTACAGAATAAAAATAGTGTACAATGAGCTGAAATAGTGTACAATGTTGCTCAATAGTGTACACCTGGTCACTCTAGGGATAGATAACCCAGTGCTGCTATAATTCAATTTTATCCGAGGTCACATGACTGTCAGACATAACCTTATAATCCAACCAATTAACGTAAATGTAGTTATATAGTACGGGATCACTGGCCACGGGGTCAAGCGGTACGAGAGTTAGTGGTGGGACAGACGTACGGTTAAACTGACGCAATCGTTCCCACAGTATGGCCACAAACTCCGTCTCAATCTCGCCGATCAGGTCGTGCTGTTCGCACGGGTCGTCCCGAATGTTAAACAAACAAAACTCGTTCAAACATTTGGCCGGTGTTTGAGTAAGCGGTTTAGTCGAGCACTCGATGGCCGACTCTTTTAACACGTTATAATCGGGTTTGCGATTCATTCGCCGCAATATATCATAGGTTTTGCACTTCAGGCGATCCGTTGACTGAAGCGCAGGGAAGTTATGGGCGTTGTTGACACCGATGTGGCCGTTATTATAGTTAATTTGGGCTAACGTTTTACCGAAAAACACCGGTTCAGAGCTCTGGATAAGTTTCCAGTCGTACCACCGAATGGCCGACTGATTCCACACCGGATCCACGTTATGATGGATTTCCCACCGCACGGGTCGCCCATTGGTTGATAGGGTAGACCATTGAGACATTCCTAATATTATTTGTGATAATATTAGGTTGTTATATTAAGTTCATTTATGCTCCTGTTAGTTAATCTTAATCATTCTACTGTACTTAAAATAACTTCATGTAATTAAATGTTATCAATTCAAACTTGTTTCAAACAAATAATTAATAATTATTAAATTATATAAAGGAATTTGTTTCATTGAACAAGGTTAGATAAATAGTAAACTATACATAATAATGTTTGAAATGTTTAGTTAAGCTATGCTTCTGCTTAAAGATTTTTGTGTTATAATAACTTGATTTACAATATAAATATTTAGAATGATTCAAATTAATATCACATAAAGCATTAAATCTATTTTAATTATGGTTATTTAAAAACTAATACCATAAACATTTTTCTCATCTTCTATTCCTGTGCCGTCGATCGCATCCAATACTGTAGGCAATAGATCTGTGACGTGAATCAAAGCGTCCGAAACGTAACCACTTTTGTTCAATAGTGGGCTCCATAGGAGGGCCGGCACTCGAATACCTTAATTTTAAACAACAAATGATTGTAAATTATACGGTCGTAAATAGTAAAAATAATCTAGGCCACAAACCTCCTTCATATAGCTCTCTTCTGGAGCCCCGGAGGGGGCGGTTTAAGCCGTTGGTACCTGCATTAAGTACAAAATCGTTTACAACTTATATGAGCCACTTTTACAGCACATACCAGAGCCGAGTTGCGGATCAGCGCCGTTATCGCTCACAAATATAACAATACAGTTGTCCAGCATATGCTTGTTATGCAACGCCTCCATAACCGCACCGATGGACGCGTCCATAGTATAGGCAATGGCGGCGAACTGCCGCCGATCGGCCGATAATATGTGCGAAAATATATCCGTGTATTTCGGCGGCGACTCTGGTCTAGTAAATACGCTCGCGTGGACCGCCTGATAGGGCACGTATAGGAACAGGGGTTGACTCGCGTTGTGTTGGTCTGTCAATGAGAAAAATGATGCAAAATTGAATAACGTTAAAAATTACAGTTTGTAAATACGATGCTATACGTAAAAATTTAAATACTGTTTGTTTCGTAAAGTGGTCCGCTAAAAGTGCATGTTTGGTCACCCTAATATTAACATGTATTATTATATAAATATAACAAACCGATGATATGAAGGCACCGATCGGTGAAATAGTCGGTGGAGTAGACGTCCGACGCGTTTGTTATGACATCCATATTGTGCCGGAAGTCGTGTCCGCACACGTTATTAAAGCAATT